CCGATCTCTATAAGATTATTATAAATTTATTGTGAGAATTCTGATGACTCACCCAATACATAAAGCTGGATCGGACTACTATATCATACAGCTGCCATAGAAGAGATCGATCGAAAGTGAGGTTCTTCTTATTATTATTATTCATTATTTTCCCTGTGCATCTTAGATACTGGCAAATTATTATGGGCATCAAAAAGGAAAAGGTTCGGTCTGCAAGAGTATTTTCTTTTCCTTTTTTTAATAAAATTGAATTGCTGGTATGACTAGAAGACTAGAGAGACTAGAATAGAGGCGGTTGCAAGTGGTGCGGGCTCTTAAAGGCTCGAGTCCTATTGAGGGAGAGATCGTAGCGCGAGCTGCTTTTGGGGTTGGTAGAAAAGGTTTCAGGGTATCCCCTAGTCGGGAAAACTAACTAGAAAGAACAGTCAACTTAATAGTATAAAACAATGTGTCTGCGTATACGCGGATCAGCGTGCTGGGAAAAGTTTTTACTCAATGAGTGCACAACATGTTTTAAGTGGTCTGCAGGCTGCAGGTATTAACATTACATTGACAATATAGAACACACCTCCATATTGTCAATGTATTGGTGTAAATAATGGCTTAGCGTAGGCCTGTGCTTAATGTAATGATTTAATCTGTGCCCGTCAATTTTGAATATGTATAAAAAATATACACCTATTCTTTTTTGCCGTGTCAAGTTCTATTAAAAAAGTGTTTGCAATAATCTGATAAACTAAAAATATTTAATAATACAGTGGGCTGGGCAGCATCATGTTTTGTTTTGTCAGCATGTATGATTTCTCCGTTGTAAATTTATCCCGGTGAAGCTCCAATATATATGTATGTAGGAAAATGGTACATACACATATACACCGGATTCGGCTGTTAAATAAGATACAGGTAATTAAAACTGAAATATGAGGATAATTGCTTGTTCTTGTGAATGTAAGCAATATTTTTCGTGTCACGAAACTATACAATTTAATGACTTGACACGACACGTGCGCATCTCTAGCGCATACACTCGATTGAATAATGACTGCTTCACAAAGTATGTGCCTGTCAGTCGTTGACACTAATAGTGTTGGAAAATGCGGCAGTGTGGGTCACTATGTGTTTTTATGGGGGTGGCTGCTGCCGCCACCGCTTCTGCTGTTGCTGCTGTTGTTGCTGCTGCTGCTGCTGTTATCTGCAGCACCCGCATCGAGTTACACTTTGATGCGATTTTACATTTTTAATGGCTCAAATGTCACGACAAATTATGATGTATTTGGCGCCAGTGGAGCCAGACACCAAAAACCAACCCCAAACAAGTGTGAAATGGCAGCTGCCGATAACGTCAGAAGAGCCCCTTAGCCACCCCTCCTCTGACCCATGCAGTGCACCTGCTTTGACTGCAGTCGGGCCGCCCGCCTGCTAATAGAAAATTTAAATGCCATGTCCCGGTAACTGGCGACTGGCAACTGGCGACTGGCAACTGGCGACTGGCAACAGTTGCCCAAGTGAAACTTAATGTTCTGCAACAATCTAAGCAAAGTTCATAAACTTGCCCTGGCCAAAGTTTCAAAAACTTATAGCTGCCTTAATTTTTTTCTATTTTATGTATACATAGAATATAGGGAATATATATATATATGTATATATATATATATATATATATATATATATATATATTTGTTGTAAGTTGCTCGTGTAAACAGAGTGGTCAGTGAGGCAAATGTTGGTTCTTAAGAGTTCATGTGGAACGAAATTATGTGGCTGCTGTGGACAGCTTGCAGCAGAGCTGCAACTCAGTAGGAAGTTCGAAAGGGAGGGTGGATAATGAGAGTGTGACCAGGTCAAGTTATTTCACTTTTGGGTTAAGCTTTTTACTTCTTCCTTTTGCACTTTCAAGTTTCAATTAGCTGCACTAAATTTGACTGCAAACTCACTTCCAAAATCCGAGAGAAGAAATTTCATAATTTTGCTAAAAAGTGTCTTGTTACGTGTAGAAAAACTTTGTCTGTGTAAGTTTTTGAAAAAAACTAGAGAGACAATGAAAAAATCGGTTAAAAGTTATGAAAAACTGCTATATTAAAAAATATTTTGATAAATCGTAACTGCTATTGACAAACTGTTTCATATAATACTAGCGGGTAAAACCCGGCCTTGCCTGTGACACGCATGTTGCAAAATAAATCTTCTTCAAAAGCTTTGAAAATTATTTTGAAACTGAGCGGACGGTTAACAAACAACAACAAACAAAACAGACATACGTTTACCGCCATTTCAACCAAGGAGAAATGGATTTTTGGAAAAGCGTGAAACACCCCTCAAATAAATTTGAACAAAAACCATTGAAAATGAGTTTGAGGCCGATCGGATGGTTAGCAAAAAACGTTCATACAAATATTGTTCGCTAATTAACTACTGTTGTGGAACTGTTACGTTCCTTTGTAGAGTTGGAAGCAAATCGGACAAAACTTAAAACTGCCCAAAAAAAATCTTGGAATTGCACTTTTGACAGAGAATGCTTTGAGTCTGCAAAAAGTAAAAAACGTTTCAAATGATTTTTCATATAGAATACATTTTTGGAAAAGTGTGAAATGCTCCACAAATGAAAGTAAACAAAGATCTTTGAAATTGAGTTTAAGGCCGATCGGATTGTTAAAACAAAATTTCATACAAAAAAAAAAAACTAATCAAATTAATGTAGTAGTTGGTTTTGCTTAAACTAGCTAAAATAGCAATGAGATAATTTTGTATACTTTAAAAAATAAGCGACCGATACGCTTATAATATTAAATAAAATCATTGACATTAATTAACTAGAAAGTATTATAAATCAAAACAACATTTTAAATACTATTTATATGTTTATTTTGGGGGATTAATTGCTCCCCTCTTACAGCTGGTATTCCCTTGGCCAATCTATTAAATGGTTCATCACATTTGGACACTCTCTGTTTTGGTGTTTGCATGTATGAATCCCAGTCGTTGCCGGACATTTGTTTGCCACAGATTGTCTGCCGGGTTGGCTGGCTATATAAAATATTCCATGCATGTTGCATAAACAAGGATTAAACAAAAGAAGACACAGAATAAGTCCTATGCCTAACCCACTCGATTGCGCCCCTCAAGCGCAGCACAAGGCAAATATTTGCCGCCGTGTGTCGCCTCGACAAGTTCAGGCTGGCATTTTACTGCCAGAGTGGTGTGTGTATGAGTGTGTGTGGGAGTGTGTGTGTGGGCTGCTTTTTACTTTGTGTGCCACTCACGTTGTGCTCGTTATTCATATTTATTGCACACGTTGCCAGTGCCACCGACACGACGACGTGAAGGAGGCCTCCATGAGGAGGCCTTCATGAGTCCTGGCAATTGGGAGTTGCAGACAAATGGACGAGTTGCATGTGCATTGTTCCTGTTGCCGCCGCTGTTGATGCTGTTGTAGGCGTGCAAAAACTTTGCAATTACAGTTATTTGATGGGATTTACACCCAAACAAACACCCACAAACGCAATCCTTGCGCCTTGGCTGTATAATACGGGTGTGTTGCCTGTTTGGACATTCATTTGCTGCCGCATTTTTACAGCCTTGACGATGCACTGTCAAGGGCGGGGGGCGGCGTCCAAGTAGGAAGCGTAAAGTGGTGTTAAATGACAGGAATTACAAAAGAGGATAGAATAGGTTTTACAGGTTTTTAATGGGAAAGTGCGAAAGTAAATTTCTGTGGTAGCGAAAGCTCTTTATAAATAATAATTTTTTGAGAGTTGAAGAGGAATTGTGAGGGAACATTGAGAGGAAGATTGAGAGCGACATTGTGAGAGAGTGAAAACCTAAAGTTGCTATCAGGCAAAGGAGATATTAATGATAGATTCTTAGCTAAAGTTTATGAATGTAATCGAAAATTTAGATAAAATTGGAAAGATTTAAAATAAAAATAATTAATAAAGAAAAATAAATAAATAATTAAACCTATTTCTAATCAATTGGTTGTGATTGTAAAAAAAAGCCAAAGCCATTCGTACAATTTTTTTATGGCGTATTTTATAATCAATTTTTATGAAAATCAACAAAGAAGCGTGCTATATTTTTTGTAATTCTCATCACACTTAATCAGACACAAATCAAAAATATATTTTTTATTGCATATTTTATCAAGCACTGACAATAAACAACAAACAAACAAGCTGTTGGGGAGGGGGCTGGGGCAGGGTGCAGAGGGATATGTCTCCCTTGTTTTATGCTGATTTATAATGTAGCGACAGGCAGTTAAATGGATGGCCTAAAAATGCGCTGACAGTAAACAAGCGTCGACATGTGTACAAATTTCAGCAGCAGACATTTCAAGTACATGCATAAAATACATGAAATAAATATATGAATTATATAATAATCATTTGTATATTATTATTATGCTATGAAAATGCTTAGTTAGACATTTGTGAATACGTGACTGGACTGAATAATTTGTGGAAAAAGTTAGAAAAAGAGAGAGTTAAAAAGTTGTTGAATTTAATGTACAGAAAATTAGGTGCTAATATGGAATAAGGATTATATGAAAAGGAAGTTGTTAAAAGAATATTTTATTGCTAATTTGTTATAAAACTTTACAAATTCAGAGTATACTTTAAGCTCAAATTAAATTTGATTGATCAATCGACCAACATAGTTATGCAACAGCTACCATAGGAAGGGTATCAATATGCGCCAAGCAAACGTCAGATGTGCTTTGGGGAATTGGCGAAAGTCCATAAAATGCTGTTGGGATTTATTTAATAAAGCGCAGAAATAAAATATAAAATGCCCATCATAAATAATTCGCAATGCTGTTAAATAAAAACAAAAATGAAAATAATAATAAAATGCAAATTGTATATAAAAGAAAATTAAATATGAGAATTACGCGCCCCAAGGATTTGATTGCTTAGTTTGATTTTATACGCTGTCAGCAAATAAATTTAAAAAAATTCCTATCATATTTATATTTAATTCGAACTGCAACACTTTTTTCGCAGAACTGTCCACGGCACTGCGCGATGTGCGGGTGCGGGTGCCGCACGCGGTGAGGCGCGGGGAGAAAGCGGTGCTCAAATGCTTCTATGATATCGAGGATGACAGCTTGTACTCGGTTAAATGGTACAAGGGCAGGCGGGAGTTCTACAGATATACGCCCAAAGAAACGCCGCCGATGAAGGTTTTTCATTTTCCCGGAGTTAAAGTCAGGGTAAGTTGGGTTGGTTTTTAAAATGGTTATAAACAATTGAGAGAATCAAATCATATTTTACCTTTTGGCCTTTTTACGTATTTTTTCAAAATAATTGCAGAACAAATAAATTCTTATAAAAATAGCTTTGTTAGTATTTAAATTTGTGCATAGTTTCTCACATTTTCAATAAATATTTGGTTCAAATCGAATCTAAAAATAAAATACCAAAATAATGAAAACTAAACGCGAAACGCAACAATGTGAAGCATTTGCATTTCGAGCGCTTCGAAGCGACAGTGAAATGCTTCACTTAACCAGGCAGCGGGATAGGCTGGGTCACCATTGGGGCAACGTTGGGGGCATAGTTCAACGAGCACACAACATTTCAATGCACAATCAAATCAAAACACGGGTTTTAACTTCCGCTTGATGGCAGTTACAGGGCCGGAAAAAAACACATCGTATTTTCGTGGCGCTTCCTTTTTGCAACTCTTGAGTTGTTTTTTTTTTGATATTCTGCCTTTTGGTTTTCTGGTTTGGGCGAGCAATATTTTTCAATAAATATTGGCATTTTTAACTTGCTTTACAATTTTCGAAATTATTCAGGCATATGAAAGAAATACATGGGCATTTTATTTATTTTCATTTTTATTTTCATTTCTATTTCTATTTCATGCGACAATAGTAAGAGCAAAAATAAAAATAAATAAATAGCAGCGAACAATTTGCAGTTCATGGAAAAAAATGGCAAATGGAAATGTTTGTGCTCCAATTGCAAACAAAAAAAAAAACAGTGCGAGTATTTAGAAAAATATTATAAAACACGACTTTGGATAGTCCAGAACTATAGAGAATTGTGCGAATTTTATGTAGCTGACACATCCGTTTAACGAGCTTTGTGTGTTTTTTTTTCTATTTATATTGAATTAAATGTTTTATGAAGTTTTCGGGCATATGTCATTCGCTGGCCTTAAATATTTATTAATATAAAACTCATCAGAGTGCCAGCTGGCAAGTCGGGTCTATAAAACCACTACTGGGATTTCAATATGGCATAATAAAGTCCAGAACATATTTCTTTTCGATTCAAAATATGCAGCAGCAAAAAATAATATTTCATTTAACAATTCGCGACACCTTTCGGCATTCGGAACCGCAGAAAAAAATTATATAAATTGAGAAAGTAAACATATAAATATATATATATATATATATATATATATATATATATATATATATATTTATAATATATATATATCTTTGCAAACATTACACACGCGCAGTTTTTATTGTTTAAAATGTTGATGATTTTGAAACAGCCCCCAGAAATATTAAATATCTATATGTGTATGTATATGTATATACAATATACAACAGTCAGAGCCATAAACTTGTGGCTTATGAAATGCGCAAAATAAAAACGGCGCAAACATTCGTCGAGATCCGCATAAAGTTGACCAGTTTCAACAATTTTGCAGCCATAACCAGCGGATTGTGTTTTATATTTTTATGTTTTTTTTTTCGGGCGCCCGCTCAATTATTGAGGAAGCTCAACACGAAGCCAACAGCAATCCACGAGATACGTTTGTTTTTGTATGTTCATATATATATATATATATACATATTTATATATAGTGGATATACATAGAGTTGTAGTGTGTATTTTTTTAAACAAATTTATTTCGCTTTTATGTCGACAGGCACTTCCCATACTCATACTTGCCATGCCCGTGTTAACCCCTTTCTCTCTTGTTCTTTTTTTCCAGCGCGCATCCTCGAACGAGAGCCAAGTGGTGCTCGATGCGGTAACAATGCCAACATCCGGTAAATACAGTTGCGAAGTATCTGCGGATGCGCCCTCATTTCATACATTAATAGCGGCCGCCGAATTGGAAGTTATTGGTAAGTGAACAAAAACAAATAAAACCAGTAAAACACAAACACAAAGGCACAACAACTGATAAAAATTGCAGTACACGAAAATATTTAAATTGATAGGCTCAATGCTGCTGGGTTGGCTGAAACACACACAATCGAATATTAAATAATGTAAAAGTATTTTAATGAATTACGACTTAATGAAATAATCAGGGATTGGCTGATATTAATTTATAAGTATTTTATTCTTGCAATTTGTTAATAAAAGTCAATCCCAGCTCGGAAAATATTTACACTATGACACAGTCACAATGCGTTGAGCTTTTATAAATAGGGTCCTTTTTAGAGAAAACGTAAAAATCTGCTTAAGCTTAGTAATACCCTAAGATAAATTGTTTACTATAGCAACCAAATATTTACTCCCTAAGGAGACTCACAAGCTTATTAAAGGAAAATAAATATTTGCCCCATTCTACAAAAATCAATGTGGGTAAGATCCTTACTACCCAAAAAAATTATATATGTGTTGCACAGTGTTATAAGCATGCGCTAGACTATGTCAAATAAAAGCCAGACACTTTTCTCATAATGCAAATATCTTTTGGCATCTTTCTATTCATATTTAATTCTGATATAATAGAGTATCTCTGCTTGTGTGTCATTTGCCAAGCTGTCTGGGTCACAGCAGAGCTCTTAAATGCCTAAAGCTAAAAGTCAGGCGACAGTTTAACAAAGCTAAGCTATACGTATTTAATATTTTAATAAATTTATTGTGCGGCTACTGAGTTGCCAAGAGTTAATCAATTTTCTTACCAAATTAGACTCTTTGCCCACTTTTTCCCAATTATTCCTATTCTCTCTATCTATCCAATATGTGTCTGCTCAGGAGCCAACCATAAAAAAGCTCCTGACTGTGCCACCTTACATACATATGTTGTTCACATAAATGCTAAGGCTATCAAACAATTTGATATTAATTAATTAAATGATGTTCGTAAGTGCCTGCTCGGCCGACCATCGATTATGCGATAAGCCTTAGCAACACGAACAGCATTAAATGATGTACGCCACAAATGTTGCAGCCATATCGGCATAATCAGAAAACAAGATAATATATATGGGTGCTGCTGCTCCACTGTGTTTGGCGTTGGCTTGTGGCTGGTCCGATTGCCGCAGAAACCAATTCCAAATGCACACAAACATATCAGAAAGGCATACATATGGTCATATAAACATGAAATAGACACGGCCAGAGTTTGCTGAGACGGGCGAGCGGCCAATTTGTGTTGCCCCCACTTTGGCAAAGTCCGTAAACCAATCATCCGCTCACACACAAACACACAGGCACAAACACAAACACATACACAAACACACACGCATACACACTCGCTTACACTTGAAGCCAAAAGTTTATTGACCATCTCAAACGTTTTGCCAGTGCATTTTATTTTATTTTTTGTTTTTCTGCTTAAATATCTTCATCTTTATCTGCAGCCAGCAAATTTGTTTGTATTTTGTCTGCTCGAATACCGCACTTTCGAACAAGAAGTTTATTTTTAAGTAACGCCCACATTTGGCTCTGGTGCTCTGGTGTCTCGCATTCGCCTGGTCCCCAATCTCTTGATTTCTGACATCGGCTCAAGTCTGGGTCTGACCTCGGTCTGGGCATGTCCTGTTCACATATGACAGCCAAGCATGGAATTAGACGGCAGTTGCCATCTCATACTTCTCGTGTTTGACTTGGTGCAAGTTTATGCTCAGCTTTGACTTGTGGCATGAATTGGAATGGGAGAATAGAAAGTACTTGGTTTAAGTTCTTTTCTGTTGCGTCTGCATTGAATTCGTCGTTCTATTGAACCACAAGTTCTATTGTACTTGCTTAAAATACTTATGCTACTTGCAAATATCAAGCACGATTTTATTGCTCAAACAGTTGACTGCTGGCTAGGGTCTGGTTGACGCTAGGTTTTAAATGTCAAAGATATTTCATACTATTTAATACTCAAACAATTAATCTCGACTTAAACTGCCTCATAATATGCTTCGCTTTAAAGAAATAGTTTTAAAGTTCAACCTTTCATAATAGTTTGTTCAAGATCGAATCAACGCTGGCTTAAAACTGGTTCAAAGCGGATTCAAACTTTATTATGGGCAGGTCTCAATCTTTTTTAAAACTGACTCAAGAGCGATTCAGGACTAGATCAACCCATTTCTGGAACCAGTTCTAGCACTTCTACACAAAAGCTAAGAACTGAAGCCATGCCAATCTCATAGCTATCAGCCCAGTGTAGCCTGAAGTCTAAGTAACTTTAAGGTTAATAACAATTTGAGCAGCCAATTCAAAGCAATTCAAAATGCTTTCATGACTCGCTTCCAGCTTGCAGAACCCAACCCCAGTTAACAGCAAACGGATTCTGTCATTTTCACAACCAAAATTCGCGGCTCAATCATAACTGCAGCAGAGGGCTCTTTGGTATGCGTAGGTTTACAAAAGCATTTCAATTATAGACTGCGAAACCGCACGGATCAGAACTCGACTGTCATTACGCAAAATGTCGAAATGTCGACATGAATACGCAGACAACAACAACAGCAGCAACAAAAACAAAATAAAAACAGCAACGAATTGGAGGCCTTCAAATAGCCAGACATGCAGGAGCTCTGGGCATTCGGACAATGCTTGGTGGTATACTACGTGAAAACTATAGTGACAGTCGATGGCCAAAATGCAGGCCAATCTCCAGAGCCAAACAGCAAAACTTACAGTCATATCTCTCTTGCTCTCTCCCGTTCTGTCACACTTTCTCACACTCTCGCATTGCATTTACAGAGACGCCGCACAATGCACCATTCATAACCGGAATCCGGCCCAGATATCGGGTCGGCGACATATTGCGGGGCAATTGCACATCGCGACATTCCCGGCCGGCGGCCAATCTCACATGGACGGTGAATAATGAAGAGGTGAGTCGCAAATTATGCAAACACAATTTTCTTGTTTTTAAGCGCGGCATGCCTGTGTGTAATTTATGCGTGTGCCTGTGTGTGTGTGTGAGCCCTGCAATTACCAGGCAGCACACACACTGGCTCCGATCAGCATCTGTTATGCCACGCCCCATCCATTACCCGCCCTATTTTCGGCTCTAATAATTTAGCGCAGTTTTATGCACGCGCGCACCGGACATTAAAATGCGGCGAAACGACATTGGAAAACTCTTCAGTTGGCGAAACGAAATTTTCACAGTTTTCATTTTTAGTTACGCCCACCAAAACAATGCACGACCAATGCACAAGGGGCGTGTCTCACGGTTTGGCTTTTTGTTTGGTTTACGGTTTGGCTCCGACTAATTTGCCATTTGTGCGCCAAAATGTATGCAATGCTATTTTTCAGATTGCAACGCAGCTGTTTTTCGTAGCTCATTTAAATAAGTTGAATGTCTGCGCATAATGAAGTGAATGTTTGGTATAATGGTCCTATATGAAGTAGAAAGTGGGATGAAAATTGCGCTGATTTGTTGTAAGTATTACGGTATTTGTGTTTGAAAGTTGAAATGAGCCAAAGCAAATGGTTTGCGTAAATCAAAGTCCCAACTCTTGAAACGGTTGTTGTAATTTAAGAAACAAATTAAAGAAATAGGCTGCATGTTTAATTAAATACTCATATAAAATAAAATTGTTTATATTGTATCAAAATATTTCTAGCCAGATCTAAAACTTTAAATGAGAAAAGTCTCAAAGGAACATGGAATTAAATGTTGGACGTATTGTTATGATTAGTTTCAAATATTCACAAGGCGTTGCTGAGTAAATACTCGTGGAGAAGAATTTATTTTTTTACATTTTCTACAACTTAATTTTTGACTCCACTTTATTTCAAATCTCGTTCGCTTTTGTACAACTTTATTTCTATCATAAAAGATTTAAATAATTTGGCACACTTTTAAATACCTTAGCTCCCTGATGCTGTAACTAAGATTGTATTTGCTTCGGCCACTTCGTAGCTTGTAATTCAAATAACTAACACAAATTATATTACAAGGACTCTGTTCCACTTGTTCTACAATGTAATTGCAAGACAGTCCTTAATTGGGTAAACATACTGCCAAAATAATTTCAAGATCCTACTGGAACACAAAGCTGTGCTGAAAGCAGGAAGGCTTAGTTAGTTTCTGAGTGCCGAAGACTGAATACCCTGCAAAATGGTATCAAAATATTGTACAGGATCTGTATAGTATTAACTAAATTTCCCAGGAATTTCATTTATTTTTATCTTCGTTATTTTTTTACAATAAAGTAATACGATTGTTAATAGATTCTATATTCTCTGCGAGCGTATAGCAGAAAAAACTTACATAAATATATTATGTTTATTCAATAAATTTTTGTGAAATAGAAAACTTTTTTCATATTTTCCGATTCTCTTAAATTTTGGAATCAAGCTATTCCGTCTGTAAAACTGATCAGTAATATTTTAATGATGATTAATCTTTCTATATACATATATAGTATTTGCTTAATTTTTCTTGCAGTGCATCCACTTTTTAGCGCTATTTTCTATTTAATTGTTTGTGGCTTTATTGCTTAAGCACATTTCAAGCGTTACATTGCTGAGAGCTTGGGCCACAGGGCAGACAGTGGGGGGCTGTGGGGAGCTGTGCACTTGCAATCAATCGACGGCGGCGAACCCCAAAATACATGCAATTCAAAGCAACGCAATCCTGACCCACGAATTGCATGTGAAGCGCCTTTTCAGCTGCCAGCGCGCAATTGCGGCGTGCCAATGTGTGTGTGTGTGTGAGTGTGTGCACGAGTGTGTGAGTGTGTGTGAGTGTGTGTGAGTGTGCTTTTGTTTAGCTGCTAACGTTTCCGTCCTTTGTTGTTGTTGTTGTTGTTGTTTCCGCTATTATGCGCCATCAATGAGCATTGTTTGCCATGGACTGAAGCTCAAATTGCCCCAACTGTCTACGTGTGAGCGTGTGAGTAGCCGTGTGCGTCGCTCGCTCCCTTTCTCTCTCTCTCTCTCTCTCTCTCTCTCTGTGTATGTGTGCGTGTGTGTGCTTCGGTAAGCTAATTATTTAGCTGGCTGCGTTTATTATATGATTTACCATCCGTTACGCCTTGTAGTAGAACTTTATGCTAAATTAAACATTAGGTAAACTGTTTAAAAAAGAAATAGGATCTTTGCCTTACAAGGAGCTCGAATGAGCTTGGGCATATGATGTTTTAAGTGGAATATTTTCTTTCTAGATACATGTGGTATAGTAAATTTGCTCAACCAAACAAGATTTTGATTTATAATCAAATTAATTATGCGACATATGCCGTAAATTCAAGTCTGTAGTACCTACAATTGATGGGCATGGCTGATTATACATAACATTATTGCATACATTATTATAAAATTGGAGAGCAAGGTTTTCGTCTAACACATTTTCAATAGCAAAAGGCCATACTATTTCTCAGAGGAAAATAAGAAAATGACAATGACATTATTAATTAATAATTATTATTGTTTTATTGAAGATAGGAGCTTTTTTTGTAAATTTCTTTTCTAATATAACTAACAACATTTGATTATATATCTTTTAGGTTAATCCCTCACATGTGCGACATCATAAAATACTGCGGGATGCGCGCAACGATATGGAAACTGCAATTGTTGGCATTCATTTTGTGGTTACTGATCAGCACTTTGATAATGGCAAACTTAAGGTGAATACAGTTTATATATTTATGTATATATATAATAGTATCCAATGCAGAACTGATTTAATGATTAATTGTTTTGTTAAACAGCTCCGCTGCAGTGCTCAGCTGCATGATGTGTATTGGAAGACGACAGAAAAGACCATATTGGAGGCGGATCCGTTTGGCAAATATGGCGGCAATGGGGCCAACGGGAATCGCGTGAGTGCCGATGAGATATATGACCAGTATACGCTGCACGAGGATGAACAATTTCACAGCAAGAAGAACAGTTACCTGACACAGCTGCAGGGTAAGTTGTTTTGACAGCCAATTAGTGTGCACATACACATAAACGTCTCCATAGAGACAAAAGACAACAACAGTAGAAACAGTAGCAGATTCAACAACAACAACAACAACAACAGCAACAACGAAAGAGTACATCGCCTGCATTTTTCTATTTCTCGCTAGACTTTCTCTTTCATTTTGTACCCTCAGGCGAAGAAGACGATGTCGCCGATGGTTTAGAGGATGGCGGCGCGGCCTGGCGCGGTGTCAGCTCGTCGGCGTCCAGTCTTCAAACTGTGGCAGCAAATGCTGCAACTGCAACTGGAACGCTGTTGGCGCTGCTCAGCTGGTCGCTGGCCGGGCAATTAGTGTCGCAGCTGTTGCAGATTACAAAGCACAGGCCCATGCGGGAGGGCACATACAAAACGCAGCGGCAGCAGCAGCAGCAGGTGGACGAACCGGAGCAGAGGCAACGCCTGCGGGCGCACAACTGCACGAGCAAAGGATGCAGCAGATGCAGCAGGCAATTAACATGATTCAATTGTCACGTAATTCTTGTGCCACACTTCAGGGAGGGTCAAAAGGCAGCAGGCGGAGATGCACCAGCGGCAGCAGCAGCAACAGAGGCAGGCAGCAAAGTAGGCTTCAGCCCTAGGCAACAGCAAGTAACTGCTAAATGTATCTAAAATATTTACACCCAAATACACAGACACCAGTTTCAGCTAGCTCAAAGTAACTTCAAAGGCATTCAAAACTAACAACAAACATTGTGCAGATACATTTCTATTCATTTCATTTTTCTAAAAAATAGGCAAAAATTGAACAAAAAGAAATACTTAAATTTATCGATAGGTTTCGATAAGCAAACAGATTATTTTCTTTGCCGAGCCGAGCCAATTACCCTGTTACACTTGCCTACATACCTAAACGGAACCACTTGCGAGCTGGTTCTTTTTCTGATTTATACACTATAAAATATAAACGAAAAAGATTTGAAGAAAATGTTGTGCTAAGCTTTTCACTTTATTTCTTTACAATTAAATACATAAACAAATATATTTATTTGTATAACGAAAGTAAAAATTATTTATGTATGAGTATATAAATGATGGATCTTTATATGTACCATATAAAGTTATATACATTCATACATATAATCGTATGTGAATTATGCCTAATTGTAATTTCACACACACATACACACAAATCCAAAAAGAGTAAAATTTAAAGAAGAGCAATTAAGTTATAAGTATATAAATACGCCTATGTATGTAAAATCATATATATATATATAATTGTATATAATATAAAGCAAAACCAAAAAAAAAAGGAAAACGTAAATTGTATAATTGATAAGTATTTACGGTAGATAATCAAAAATAAAACGAGCGACAAAAAAAAAAAGAAATTATGCAAAATGTGTTATCTGTTTGTATGAAGATGTTTTCCAATTCGAGTAAGTAAAGGTTCTTATATGTAAACCTGAATTTATTTAATAGCATAATGTTTATTATTGCAACTAGACAACTCCTGTTTGTTTTATTAAATATATTTTTTAAGATTGTATTTATTATATTACATGATTCAAAATGCAAACCTTTTTGTACAATTTTCTAAACAATTTTATTAATGTAAAAAATATTTAATGATGATTTTTGTGAGATTTTCTTTGAATTTGCAGATTGTATGTTTGTTTATTTTTTATTTTAATTTTTTAATATTACTTAATTTAATAAGAATTTTATAAAGTTAATTGCTCTTCTTATTTTATATCATGTTTTTTTGTATAACGATTTAGTGCACTTCTGTTAACTATGATCCTTTTTAAAACTTCATGTTAATATATTTTATGAAGATTTTTTAATGAACATATTGGTTTTTGATATTTATATAATATATTTTCCGATTAATAATAAAAAGTAATATGTTTATTTTCATTTTTATTAAGATATAACACATATATTTATTGAAGATCATTTGATGAACATATCTTATCTTGGAAGTATATAATTTGATCTATTAGATTAATTATATAATTATAATTAATATATATAATTATTTTATTTATTGCACGTTTATGTTTTTTCTTAAAAGAATTTGTACTTTAACGTTAAATAAGATTTGTGTTTTTTAACAATTTGTATTTGGATAAATATCCAGTACTTATGTATTCCTATACTGCTGCTCCATATAATTACACAATTAATTATGTACATTCCAAGAACCCAGAACTCACGCCCCAAATGGCAACGCATTAGTGATCTCATGCCTGTGCCGGACTCGAGATGCGAAATAAGAAATGACAACAATAAAGATGAGCTGCTGGCCATTGCTGTGGGTATGGGATGCTGGGCCGGGGGAGTCGTCCCCTACAATTAGCATAACTAAAACGCTCAATTAGGCGCCTAAAACGCTTCAGCCGGACAGGCAGGATGTGCCGGTGCTGGCAGCAAGGACCACGCACAGGCTCAGGCGTCTGGTTGTCCTGCAATGCAATTTGCACCTTTTATTACACATTTTTTCTTCTCGCTCTGTTATTTATTTATTTTTATTTATTTTTCTCATTTCATTGTCTGCGTAATGTTTATTTTTAATTATATTTTTTTTTTTTGCACATTGTTTTTATTTTATTTCTTTCCTTTGTTTTTTTTTTTTATATATATTTTTTTTCTGTGTATTGCTCTTTGCTTTTTGTGTTGCGGCTTCATTGTTGGCGATTTGCGGGCGTAATAAACGTTAATGGCGGTTGACCACAAAGAGAAATTGCGGACACTTTGTTTTTTCGGCCACTTCTTTTGTCGCACATTTTCTCGAGCGCATTTTCCTGATTAGCGCACTTTTCTTTCATTTCAAAAACATTTTTCGCCTCTCCCTTTCTTTTGATTATTTTTGTTGGAGGCCAGCGCATTAGATTTAATTGGTTCTATTTAATTGATGATTTGTTATCAGTTGCTTAGTGCTTAATTATTTGCATTACTTATGCCATTTATATCTACAAAAGGAAAAGCGAACAGAAACGAACAGGAAAGTATCAGTGAACGCTTCAAGCGTATCAGTTAAGTTTCTGGCAAAGCGGCTAAAAGCATTTAACGAAAAATGACACAAACAAAAAATAGAAAAACAGAACAGAACAGCAAGAATGCAGTTGGGCAAAATGTTCGTCTTTCTATGCAGAGCTTCCGTCTTTTTCTTCCCGGCCGTAGTGTTGGCGAAAAGTTTGCGCCCAAGCAAAAGTTGACTATTTACAAAAGTAAAGCGGCTTTTAAAAATGTTCAAGCAACTTGGCTTGGCTTTTCACTTAGCGACAAACTGACGCCCAGCAACAACGGCAACTACAACAATGAGGCACATACATCAAGTTAAGTTGATGTAGCTACATATTCATAATGCTGATTGTCGTTGTTGTCCTCGTTGTCAGACGGCAGATTGAAAATTTATTCAAAAGTCTGGCAAGTCGGCAAGTGGCTGCTGCAGAGCACGCCCGCCTGCCTGCTAGCCTACCTCAGGATAATAACTTTAACTTGAAAAGTAGCTCGCAAGCGGCTTTGTGCTGCAGTTTTTTTTCTTTTCTCATTTTTTTTCTTCACCGCTTTCCATTTAAGTAGTCGCACATTACTGAAGAAATTTGCTCTAAAGTTAACTTCAGGCAGCAAAGCTCATGAATATTGCGATTGGTCATGAGTATCCCTCTGCATGAACTACTCATTCAATTGGCCACGTGCTACACATTTTAATAATATAGATATTTAAATATATATGCGGTTAATAGAAGCCACTGATTTCAGCTAGAATTCAAAAAAAGGAAAATTAAATAGAAGAAAAGTAAATAACATACATACTTTATGTATATATATATATTTATATTTATATATATATATTTATATATATATATATATATTTATTTTTAATATAATTTTGCTTATAATTTATTTTTCAGCTCATTATCATTAAAATTGTATAAAATTTATTTTTTTTGCTTTATTATATTGCAAAATATTTGTAAATTGTAATTAGTTTTTATTATGTAATATTCTTTCTTTATAATATATATTTCAGCTCATTTTCATTTGCATTTTATTGTATTTATTACTTTTATACCCTGAACCCATTAAAAATGGGTATACGGGTATATTATATTTGTGCGAAATCCAAATGTATGTAACAGGCAGAAGGAAGCATCTCCGACCCCATAAAGTATATATATTCTTGATCAGCATCAATAGCCGAGTCGATCTAGCCATGTCCGTCTGTCTGTCCGTCCGTCCGTCCGTCCGACCGTCCGACCGTCCGTATGTATCAACGCAAGGATCTCAGAACCTATAAGAGCTAGAGACTGAAATTTAGATGTAAGTGCTCCTAGTTCCCGCGCAAATCGAGTTTATTTCCGATAGTCGATAACTTACTCCATTTCCAAGCAATCGATAAAAATCGATATCGATATAATGTTTTTTGGTCACCAAACTTGACATATAGCTTCTAAAATAGAATATATATATGCATTTGATGTTGGAAGAAGGGGGTTCAGGGTATCCCATAATCGGAAGCTCCCGACTAGAAACTCTTACTTGTTATTATTATTATGTTCATTGTTACTTGTTAAATTATTATTTTTATTGTTTTAAAATGATTGTTATTATCTGTATTATTATAATTGTTATTATTTTATAATATTTATTATTGTTATTTATATAATTCTAGAGATGTCGGAAAAATATTATGCCAATCTTGTTTCTTAATAATTAGTAAACAAATTATTATTACTTGTTTCAACTGTGACGACCTGTCCTCAAAATTAACTTTTGCATACCACCCAAAGGAGCCAATTAAAATGAACTGTTATCTTTGAGGTGCCGAACTTTGAATACACTTTCCGACACACAATGATGTTTTCATATATTAATTTCATATATTATTATATTAGAAATTGGAAACAGACTAAAACTCTCAATAGGTGAGTTGGGTATTATTCTATTGTTTATATAGGAGCTATATGATATTGTAAAACGAGACTCATAGAGAAGCAAATGCCTTCTGGGTATAGTTAAGATATATTGGAAATCAAAGAATTGTTGGACCTATACTGTAATAGTTATATGAAAGACTGATATTTGCCAAGTTTCCTTAAGATAACTTCGATTCTGCGAGACCTTAAATAACTTAACATGAATATTATTAATTTGTGAATGTGGAATGCATAGCAACTGGCTGTTGCTAAGGAGCTAACTTTTAGCAGGGTATAATACGAGAAAAAAAAAGTACAAGCAGCAACCAACAAACTACAAACAGATACAAGTGCAAATAAGGTAATATTTGGGTAAACAGAGGAAAGCCAAGCCAAACCTACACCACAGACACGCGTACACACAGAACCACAAAATTTTCCCACACACTACACACACTCGCATTTAAAGTCATAAATTTTTATTTGTATGATGATGACTTAAGTTCTACGTGCGTTACAAGAACTCAACTTACACCTGCGCTGCTAGCAGACTAAAGCTACACCCCTGTCACACACACACACTCACATACATACACATACGCACGCACGCACACGCAAACACCTTTGACTACACCTACAGCTGAAAGTTCCATGCTGGCTTTAGTTAAGTGCATGATTATGCTTTTAGTGGCATGTTGAGGTTTTGTCAGTCAGTTGCTCTTAGCTTTTCACCTACCCCAAACTTACTTCTGGCCATTTTCTTTTTATTGCAATACTTGAAACTAACTTGACTATGTGTGGAACAGCTGTTCCACTCGTATATATTCCAGCCCCGCCCCTCACCCTGGCCACGAACATCTTGTGCATACGTGCGTTAATAGAAAATTCTCTTTGGATTTTCCCTGCTTCAAAGCAGTTGGCAGCGCAGCTTTAGATTTGCATTAGTTTTTCTAAGCTTTTCTAAAATTCATAATGGAACTGCCTCCCGAGTTGAAGTAATATTCACTTTGTCAAAATTTTGTGTCAGTTTTCGGGCATATTAGATAAAGTACAAATAATTTATAGGTTAATATAATTTACCAAAGTTTTGTTGTTACTTATTTTATATCTTCTCTCAGCAAAGCAATAAGGAACTAAAAAAAAAACTATGATAATATTTTCAAGTATTTATTAGATATTACTTAAATATTCCGATAGAAATAGTCAAGAAATTAGATATCAAAATAGATATAATTTTTATATATTTTTAATCACATTAACACACAGTTTTTTATTAATGCCAAAATATTGTATATTATTTTTATTATTAAGACATTATTAGACAACAAATTCAAGTTATTTTTTTGTGTTATATTTTGCAACCACATTGATAAAATCATAAAAAAGCAATATTATCTGCGAAATGGATACATTCAAGATTTTAGTGCGCATAAAACCG